GATGAAAAGATAGCTGTTTCATGTCACGTTTCTTGTATGTGCTAAAATATATTTAGCACTTATTTTATTTTATGATCCATCATATATAATGGAGGTCATGGTTACATGTCCATCTGTACTTAACTACCAACCGCAAACAAACAACTCCTTTCCTCTCTCCATAGCAGCATGCCACGTTTATTAGACTGAAAGCAAGCAATGACCTTGATCATGCGGAGTGCTTTTGACACTAAAATTTCTAATTTTCGCAGAGAGAATCAATTATCAAAAAAATACACATAGAACCAGAAAAATGCCAAAAGGAATGTGACGACTTAAGCGTAATCAAATATGTCATTATTGTTTGCCTGCAGATCATATTGTCTGATATTTCCTGAGTACTTGTCTGATATTATACATGCAGTAGAAACTTCTATCAGGGGATGTGGTTAGAAAAAATTATTTTGATAAGCAAAAAGACATTTCCTTGGTACATGTAATGACCCTGACTCCCAATCAACACATGATTATGATGCAACAATGTAAAATCAGCCACAAGAGTCGGTAATGCTATGAAATCTTGTTAATCATCTAAACACCTTTTGTTTGAAGAAATCCGTTTTGCGAACCTAACTGGAAAAATTGGCCTACTTTACATTTTAGAAGGCCTAAAATGATGTAATTAAACATTACCGACACGTTCCGATGTACAAGTATTGTACCTCGGTCCCTAATGCTGCTGTACGCTTAGATTTATGGCTGAATTATACAAATAAACTAAAATAATTGTTGTTTATCACCGAAAGGTTTAAAAATGACATAAAGGACGTTATCAAACAATCCGCAGATCGATTCGGCTCTACTGACAGACCACGTTCATGCTTTTCGGAAAATTTTCATCTGAAGTAAAATTATTACTGCATTAAAACGAAAGATGAAATAAAAAAGAACTGTTGTCGATTTTTAGCGAAAGTTTGCAGGCACTTTAGGGAAATAAATGTTTATTACGTCTCTGCTGGAAAATGTAAGCAGTTAAGCTTGTTCATGCGAAAAGCACAAGGTCACAAGTGTGCGTGACTCGCTCTGGCAAGCGTGTCGTCTTCTCTCATTCACAGTTGAAACAAACATGCTTGATTGACTCGACTTAAAAGATATTGCAAGGATTATTCACTCTCACCATGCACGAGCTAATTACTCTGAGTGAATAAAAATTTTTTCAGTCTGCAATGGCTAATTCCTGCTGAATAAAGTAAACATGTATTATTCAAAGATAAACACGCTGGTGACTTGCAGTTCCAAAACAAAATCGAAACACTCGTCGATTTCAAAATAAATTTCGCAGAGCGTGTCATGACCGGTCTTGGAGAGTAAATACTATACGCTTTGACGAACAAAGATATTGGTAGGAACACATTTCGACTAAATCATCAGCCAGTCTTTATCTTCTCCACATGCACGTTGGAGTACAATAACAGACTAGGGTTCAAATTAAAACAATGCTGGAACATGACCAAATCTTAAAGCAGCGGTTCAATTCGCTTTATACTTGTATCTAGGGAAAACGAAATCCAAAACAGACTCTTGCGATACAAAAAGCCTTCCTATATTTCTTCCTCGAGTTATAGTTTGTATCTTTAAAATAATATGTACATTGCCCAAAACGCACGTTATATGAATACGTGTAGTTTTAACCCTAAACTTTCCGGAAATGTAAGTGTACGCGGGTCAAAACGCAGTCGAGAGGAGAAGAAGATTTTCGTCTCGCATCGTCAAATTCTCACAACGCCTGAAGATGTTATTATTAGGCACAAATAGCTGCAGTAATTGTCTTTTCTTGTACGTAAATTGATAAAAGCTCAAGACAAAGAAAATGTATTACAAAAGAAAATTATTGTCGAAAAACAAAAGCGGTTGCTAGTATCATTATCAACGGAATAAGGCTCTTTGCGGAACAAGGAACTGTCAGAGAGGTTGCTTAAATAAATTTTTTTAGCCGTGAAAATTTTATAGATACTTTAACTAGCCAATTTGAAGCTAATAGTTTATTATGTTCCCTGAGAAACAGCAGGCGAACCAGTCGAATGGATCAAAACAACCCCAGTTTCCACTTCAGTTTACAATAAATTGAGTATCTGACCCGTGCTAAAACACACTACTCTGTCAACCAAGCGCAACTACTCCGGTGCAGTGTCTTCAGGCCCACTGAAAAGACAAACTAAACCAAGTCATATAGAACTGTTCACTGACTTACCTTTCTTAGATTTGGCACCGATCTTGAGTTTTGATGGCCATGTTATGGTGGTTGCCGTTTCTTCCATGATCTACGAGAGGCATACCATCGCAAGACAATTTACAACTCAGCTGCAATTATGTCGAGAATTAAAAGATAATTTGACCTCCTCTAACCTTCTGGAAAAACTCCTCGCCAGTCTGGCCACATCCCTCCACAGCAGCTGAAATTCATAAATATCGCTTTAGCATATAAAGTTCAAATGATTAGCTAAGCAAAATATAGATGGAGAGTAAATAAAGTCGTTCGATGGACCGATCGCGTCTCGTGTGCTACTGACCTTGGAGCATTTGCTCCAGTTTACGACGGTCCACGCGAAATCTTTCCTCCACAAAGTTAGGGTCCCGCTCTTCGTTAGCGTCATCGCCGAGTAAATCTCCTTCATCCTCGCAGAACTCAAGGCCTGTCGCCATCTTCATGATCACAAGCTCAAAATCCAGAATAAGTGAGCGGGAGAAAATTTGCTCTGCATCATATTGCGGCGGTGTGCAGTGCCGTCTTTAACCAATCACGTGGGTCAAGGTGACGTCAGATACGCCCTATTTAACACCAAAGTATCAATTAGGAAAAAAACGCGATCAGCCAATCGTAACGCCTCGTAATGAAAAAATTGATGTTTGATTGGTTTCTCAATGGGTAGCTTTGGCAAATTAATTGACATGATTAGAGACCGGTGACAATCAATACGCCAAACACAAAAGGTTCCGAGGAAACCCCCCCTTTCCCTTTGATCCTCTATATTATCCTGGCTTCACCGGCGATGTAAAATTTACCTATTATTTGCGGCACATCATGTTTTGTTGTGGGCTAATTTTGCCTATTGTAAAATATTTATTAGTTTTTAGTCGGTTCACTGGACTCCCGCTTGGTCGATCACGCGCAAAGAACCACTGAGCCTATTGGAAGACAAAAGCAGCTAAACAACGAAAGATATTTCAATGAACTTTTCCCAAATATTTGGCTCAATGCTTCGTTAAGAAGGCAACGATATGGGTCACAGAACAGTTCTTTTGTTCCGTGTATGGTATATATTGTTTGAAATTAGTTCTTCTCAGCATCAAATATCGCGTCAAAATCCGCAGGTATAGTGTAAGTCAGTTAAACAATAAGCGAAAAGATCACCATGGGAACAGGACCGACTAAAAAAATTTAAGAACAAGATTTCAAGTTACATCTACCAATAAATTGTCTACATTCAGCCGATCAGAGGTTATAAAAACGGTCTGAGCTGTCTAAAACATTCGTTAGTTTTTGCTTTTCCTACCGAGTATCAAAAACCTAGCCGGAACTTTATCCCCTCGTCTACCACACCTGTTCTTTGATTTTCATAGCATCTCAACAAGAAAACCGTAGGAAACAAAAATCCGAGTTATTTTCATAGCACCTGACAAGAAAACACTGTAGAAAACAAAAATCCGAGTGGTTATTAAATGAAACAGCTTTGCCAGTTCGAAAACCAAATCAAATGGCCATAGTCATGTAGATAAAAATCCTTTTCACAGGCGAACGTGAAAATTTTTAAACCATTAAACTTCATAAACTGATTTGAGATTTTCTTAGCGATTGCAATTACTGTCGTATAGACTAATTAACTTTCGCTTATTGATGTTTTCTATTAATACCTCATTATCATCAAAACTAGTGGGTCAAGACCAGGAAGAATGAACAATATTTTTTAAAACATCGTCGGAGTGTTTAGAGACACTGTTCACTTGCATGGCCTCTTCTTAATGGTTGCACCGATGAACGTGAAGAGACCCGTTTGAAAAGCAAACAGTCTCTCTACAACGCGTTCTCAACATTCCATATCGCTTAGTTCAGTTACACAAATGAATATTTATAAAACATCAGCTGGTTGTAGACTCTCTTGCCTAGTGCACATTTGTGCACATGAATGCTCTTTTACATTCGCTTCAATGAAGACCTGTTCACCCGTTCAACTTTACAATAACGTAGTCATTCGCGGGGTCAGTCCAGTAAGAGATAGAAAATATCATTGAACTTATTCGGTAGCTTGGCTCCTGAGAAGCTAGGATTTAGAAATGGAAATGAACTGCGTCGACCGTGAGTGACTCCAGTAAACTCGGGTAGAGAGGTCAATGGTTTTCACACTAAACAGCCGATAGAATATAATAGAATCAGTCAAATAGCACTCTAAGTTCATAGTTGCTAGTATAAAACGGCGCCTGCGTTTAATTAAATAGCGAAACCAGAAGAAACGAGCGGGTTAGTAATAACTACAAACAACAAACTAATATGGCAGGAGGAAAGATAGAGACAATCATCAAGGGCAATATAAGATACATCAAGAGCTTGGACGTATTTTTATTTTTAGTTATCGTTCTCTTTCGGTTTAAATACAAGCTAAACAATAAAATATACGAAACAGTACGCTTGCCTGGTCTGGCATAACCTTTCATCTTTTAAGGTGATGGCTTAAATTATACTTTACACTTTATAATACTTAGCATTGCTGCCGGTTCATCTCAGTAAGCGGAGCTTTCCGCAACACTGAGAGGATAGATCCGGCCATCGAAAAAATAACTTTTTGCTCAAAGTCTGTTCAGCTGATGAAATCTGTTCCAGTTTTCCTGCTTGCTTTTCACTTTCTTGAATTCTCAAAGTCTTTCTCTGTAGTCACTGACCACGAGACTCTCGGAACTACCTTCGTTCTATTTTCTGTTACCGTGGCCCTCGTGTGCCGGCCACAAAGAAATCAATTACAATTAACTGATAAAACATGAACCTTTATTTTTTTTGTCACCAAAAATCCTTCTCTTGAACTGTCTCCGGTTTTTGCGGCTATGGATATGACAGCTTCAGTCTACACTTCAGACCTTTTCAAGAGACATGGGTCAACGATCAAAAACGGCATTTTGCCAGTTTCCAAAGGTGTGTTTTGCAAACTGCATGACGTATTATTTCACCGTCATTTCAACACCAGCTGATATTACTTCTGATATTCTTGTTATCTCCAGTTTACCTTGTTCATACTGCCGCTGCTTATTAGCAAAAATGACTGTCTGTGACTGTTGAACTGACATAAGACGGAACTACCCCTCTTTCTTATTTACTCTGTCAATATCTACATTTTCATGATTAGTCACGTTTTCCTGCTCCATGGCGACTTCTTTTTCTGGACTCCCGAAACATCGAGTTTGGATTCGAGCTCCAGTTCGAGTTCGAGTTAGACTTCAAGTTGAACTTTTTAAAAATAATTATAATATTAGAGAGGTTTATAGATTCAGGGACGACTACGAGTAGGAAATTTTCTCAATACCAAGTAGAGCGCGTGCAAACCATGAGCAGTGTCGTCGTGGCGGGAACAAGTCATTCAGTATCATTTAGCTAACTTGTCCTTGAAAAAAAAAAGAAATAAAATAAAGCTTTCCTGGGTGCCTTTCTTTTAGAACACGCGCAAAAACTTTAAGTTAAATCTCGCACTCATTCTCTTCCAAACTCGAACATGCCCTGCTCCCTCTTTTTCTCTTTTCGTAAATTAATAAACAAAGTAAAAACTGAACGAAATCTTTTCCATCCGGCTTAAAAGCAGCAGCAACAGAATGTAACAGATAGTAAAACAGAGCTGTGTAATGTAGAAATCGACTAAATTAGCTGGGAAGATTATGTGTACCGGCCGCGAGCCAGTTATAATATAGTAAGCACGGTAGGGGGCCGTTTCTTACCAAGAAACATGCCTCTTACCACGTTGTGTGGACTAACGAATAAAACACAAAATTATTGTGGGTTCTAGTTTTTTTATTCCGTTAACCCCGATGGAATTTTAATTCACGGTTACAGGCCGGAACAGATAAGAGTGTGAAGATGAAGTGGGGTATACCTATTTACCGGTTTGAATAAGAGTTACGTACAGTATTGAGTCGGCACTGATGTAAATCGGCTTCTAGTTTGAAAGGAAGACACCACCTAACGGGCACCTGTGATTCGTATTTGCCACGAGAACCACTGTTAAAACGTACAATTTCCCCAATTCCTAACCGACAGGCAAAGAAATCCTGTATCCCGTGCCAAAATTATAACTGTGAAATCCCGTTTGCAGTTCGTGAATCCCGCACCGTATTTTGCTCAATGCCGGATCCCGAAATACCCCTACAAACCCTGNTTGTGGGTTCTAGTTTTTTTATTCCGTTAACCCCGATGGAATTTTAATTCACGGTTACAGGCCGGAACAGATAAGAGTGTGAAGATGAAGTGGGGTATACCTATTTACCGGTTTGAATAAGAGTTACGTACAGTATTGAGTCGGCACTGATGTAAATCGGCTTCTAGTTTGAAAGGAAGACACCACCTAACGGGCACCTGTGATTCGTATTTGCCACGAGAACCACTGTTAAAACGTACAATTTCCCCAATTCCTAACCGACAGGCAAAGAAATCCTGTATCCCGTGCCAAAATTATAACTGTGAAATCCCGTTTGCAGTTCGTGAATCCCGCACCGTATTTTGCTCAATGCCGGATCCCGAAATACCCCTACAAACCCTGAGCCCAAGAAAGTAGGCGGAACTCAGTATGAAAGGAAGGAGATTCTACAATGTCCCGGTTTACCCAGATAAAATTAACTCGCCATTAGCAGAAAAGAGAGTCTATGCTAATAAGGTTAGCTTACTGGGTCGTTTTGCTTGTAGCTACACTGAAGTTTTAGTCCCAGAAAGACTTTGCATGTTTCAGTACTCAAAAACAAATAGAACAGTCAAGTTAAATAGAAGAGACGAAGTTATTTTTTCATGCCAAAATTAGGATGACCACTCCCCCCCACCCCCCTCACGGCTGCGAACAAAACAGTAACAATTTTGCTGCTGACTGGCTCTCCTCCAAAATCCCAGTAACCTCCCCTGGCCCCAATTTAAAACGTACCTTCCCTTACAAATCTTTTTTTGTTAAATCTGGTTTTAATGTCAGGCGAAAGATGTACTTCATAATCCTTCACGAAATGGTGGGGTTGGGAAGGAACAAATGAAAGGTTTCTTCGTTCGCACACTCAGAAGTCAAATTGCCACAGGCCAAGCACGAGCATGTCATTAACTAGCTGAAAATAGTTGTGGCTGTCTTAAACAAGAAATTCAAAACGTCAGATACAAAAAATCCGGGGATAAAATTTTAAACACACTACTCATGTTATGTATAGTTGTTAAGAAGATGGTGAAAGAGGGAAAGCATTCGACGCATACTCGAATCTATGATAAGCGCTCCCTTTATGGCTATTAAATTCATTTTCCTCTCTTTTGCTTTTTCGTTTGAGTAGCAGGAACTGCGCAGTGGAAGTTCAATTCCAAGTTATAAAATTCTCCATCATTTTCTCGCATTATCGGGAGACTTGGAAACTGTAGGCGACGGAAACCCGAGCATAACTTAACACGAGTATATACGCACGGCCGTGAATATATTAAGGGTTAGAAGTCGATAGGGCCAGAACTTGAATGCTCACTATGTATGTATTGTAATTATAAAGTAATATTATTGGCCTTTTCCCTCAGATCACGCGCTGATATTTTCGCATGCCTTACACTTCACGCGTCATCCCTACTATCTTAGAGCCTGAAACAGGCTAGAATATTAGCTGTTAATGGTATTTTACACTATGAATGAGGAAAATTGGTTTCCCCTCACCGCCTACGCTTCAAAATCCGGCACATAGAGACGTTACGTAAGTTGCAAAGGTACATCATCTTCCGGACGGACAGACACAGTAGAAAAATAATGAGAATGATCGCGTCATTGGGTCATGGAAAATGGAGATGCCTTTTGTGCGATCAAAATCTTTGTTTTTTTCAGTTGTGAATTTACGAAAATGCAGCTCATTTTTCTTACCGAATCTTGAATCATTTCCCGAATTCCGTATCGTGAATTCGCCAATTCCCGTGTGTCGATCGCTTGTTGTAACAGTCAAGAACCTCGTTCCCCTTTTCCCTAAAAATTCCGAATTCTTACCTTCTAACACGTCAAGGAAGCCACATCCGAGTTCCCTACGACCCTCCTTTTTCGCCGCTGAGACAGGTACTTTTCAGAACTATTGGGGGCTTTCAAAATAGACTGTTGGTAAAATATGTTTTATGTATTATTCAACAACAAGGTTATCAAGTAGTATTATCCACTTTTAGTTTCCGTTTCCGGTCACGTATCCAAAACCGAAAGCGAAGAAACGAGAAGAAACGTGTCAGAAATTAAGGCGATTACTTATTTTAAGCAGTCTAACCTTTGATCAGTAACATCACGCAAATCAAAATCAGGCTGCATATGCAGAAACAGGGTTCGTACAATTTTTTGAACAAAGAATTCTAGGACTTTCAAGCACACATTTCGCATTTCTCAAGGGCAAAAAAAGAGCCTTGAGTCTACACTCTTTTTTTTTTTATAAGAATGTTGTTTTTCCGGCCCAGGCTGAATATTCTTATTTTTCTGCTGATTTTAGGCTGAAAATATTCTTGCATTATTCTTAAATTATAGCTTATGACATTTCCGTTTTAGAATTTATTGGGGTATGTGTATATGTATTACATGTACCGTTCATCGAACTGTCATTAGCGTTAAACATTTTGCTATAGCTAGTGCAGGTTTTTTCGTTTTGTTGGCTAGTTTCGCCGTTCAGAGAAAGGAATAATTTTATACAGTTAAGTTAGAAACATAAAATTGTATTGTATTTACAGATGTTTCAACACACAAAATTATGTCTATCCTTTTCAAAATCTCAGCCTCGGCTTTATTCTTAAAATATTCTTAAAATTTCGCAAATTTCAGCCTCGATATTCTTATAAAGTATATTCTTTTAAAAAAAAAAGAGTGTATGTCTTGTTTTAGTTCTTCCACATCTGGAGAATTTTATCCCGCGGGTCTTTGTCTTTGCTCCTTTTCCTTTGCAGTTATCCTTAAACTATAAAGTTAGCATTGAAATTCAAGGACTTTCCAGTATACCGACTGCAATTTTCAAGGACTTTCAAGGCAATAAAATTCAAGGACTTTCCAGTACCAACTGCAATTTTCAAGGATTTTCAAGGCCTTGAATTTTTATTTTAAAATTCAAGGACTTTCAAGGATTTTCAAGGTGCGTGCGAATCCTGCAGAAAGTGTGAAAACTTGCAGCGCGCTAGCGGTCCGACCATCAGTTTTCTACACACACTAGCTTCTGACAGCACATACCTCAAAAAGCCTCAGTTTCCACAAATGTAAACTGCTGGTGACAAGAACATATTGGATCATATTCATTTCCAAACGTAACGAATAAGAGATACGGAAATTAAACCTGTGATTTTTCTGCCCTCAAACTAAGACACTCAAAACCAAGAAATCTTATAGGTGATGATTCTGAAGGGCCACGCCCAAAACACTAAAAATTGTTCGACAGTAACAGCGAAACACTACACTGTGCGGATAGCTGTTGCGTCGTCGCCACGCCGAAAAAGAAACCGGACAGGGCCTCTGTTCACACATACGAACGGTTGTGGCGGCGCGATTTCTGTGACGGAGCGAAGCTGCCCCGCGCGGATCTCCAAAGTGGAGTCACGGTTTTTCGTAACGCCACGAAAAGCTATGCGTTATAGTGCGGACACAGCCTAAAACTGTGATTACTTTTTCTGTTTACATTCAAGCGCCGTGCAAAGCGGTTACTTTACATATTTTAGACTTAAGTAGCTTTGAATGATCCTTTCAAGAGGGTAGGGAAAACATCAAAGGGTAAAGACTTGTTGAACCGTGCACCACACCCCAAGCGAGTTACCCACAAAGAGAGACCCTTCCTCCTCCCCGCCCCCGTTACCGCCACAGCGCATACCTCAAATTTAAGTACTACTTCACAATGTTACTTGGCTCTTGCACGTCCAAACAACAACCACCTAATTCTAAAAATGGAAGAAAAATCAACGACTCAAAAATAAAAACGGAGGAGGATGGTGCTCATTTTATTTATTATTTATTTTTAATTTTTTTTTTTTCAGGTAAATACACGTCCTTTTTTTCGGTGAAAACGAATTAACTCAATGAAGATTGACTATTGACGTATTAAATCAATGATTGTTGACGCCCATTCGATCAAGGGTAAATAGCACTTGATCTGTAAAATACAAACCGGATATCATGGTCAGAAGGCTTGTCCTATGTTCTTGACCGCGACTTAAACCTATTCAGAATCCTTGACTGAGCGATAAACAAGTGGTTTACCGCAAATTTACTAAATGATAGGTGCCCCCGTATAGCATATTGTATTTCGTAATATAGCATATTGTATTTCGTAATATGCTGTGCACGTCCAATCTTTCCTAAAACGCAAGCCACCATATCCAGTAATGACAACGAACGACATTAGTATGCATGCAGTCTTGAACAAGTAGCTCCCTGTTTGGCACTCATGATGCGGCGAGGAGGTGCTCAAAGTCAGGGGTACAGATCATGCGGTGTTTTACGTGTCCAAGGCAAATCATCTCTGACCGGTTGTCTTCAGTGTGAACAGATACAACATCCTACAGAAACACAAACACACAAACACTTTCATATAGCCGGATACATTTACGATTCTAAGTACCGACAATTAACGGGTCAAGTTTACTGTTTTGCCCTAAGGGAGCTTGCAGGGATCGAATTAACTCCTCTAAACTCTAAGGAGGGAAATAATCTAAGAGAGTGAGATCGTGGGGAAATGGACTTGGAAAAGCGATTCACTCGATTATAACTTGCAAAAAGTTATATAAAGCAGCAGCTTCTTTTTACAACAAGCGCATTCAGAATTTCTCAATACTAGTTTACAAGAGTCTACTTTTTAACGAGTATCCAACATATAAGGAATATGTTTACTGTTCGCCATACAACCTATAATTTGCGCGCTACCCATATGTTGACTCTAAACAAGCCAAGAACGACAACCTATGGACTACACTCTTTTTCTTATTTTTCCGCCCAGCAATGGAACGACCTTCACGACGAATTAAGGAGTAGTACTTTTACTCATTTTGAGCGACGTGTGCAAAGTCTCAATACGTTTGATTAGTTTTCGCTATTAAATTTTTGTCTTATTTTGTGTGTGTATTTTTTTTGTTCAGTTCAGAGATCTTAATTTGTTTCTCGAAGATATTAGCTATATAGTGTAGCTACTCTAAAATTCGAGTTAAAATAAAGGTTATGAATGTATGTATGTAAACAAGACAAAAGGACTAAAAGAAGGGAAAGTAGGCGATTACGGAAGAGAAACATCTATCACACAAAGGAGGCGACTACCCAAGGAAAGCTAACTCTAAGGAGGGAACAAGAGGGAGGGGCGATTTTGAGAGGGATAACTTGGATTAATAAAGGAAATACCGTAATCCCAGGGAAAGCAGTTAAGAAAGTCCGTCTCTATATCAACCCTTCTCGGAAGCTAAGTCTATCATTACGCCAGAATGGCAAAAAAGAAAGAGTAAAACAAATTTTACAATAATATTAAACTGAACGATCCTCGCGCGCCAGCAGGTCAAAAGCCATGGTCGATGATGGTGGTAGGTTTGTTTTCTCTTTCCATCGCGTTCGATTTTCCGAGAAACTTCATCGGGAAAGGAACGTCAAAAACTGTCAATGTTATTGTAAAAAACAAACCGACGACCATTTTCCATGGTCTATAATCCTCTTGACCATAGAAATGACGTCAAATTGTTCGAAAGTTTGCATGCAGTGAAACCACTCGCCGTTCCGCTTGAGTTTTGGCATTTTGACGTTATGTCTATTGAAGATGAGAGTAGCAAATATGCAGTTCTTAGTGAATCTGTAATGTGCACATAATTTTACACAACTTCAGAAACCCTACACTAAAATTCATTAACTTCACAGGCCCGAAAATGAAATTATTTACGATNAGAGATCTTAATTTGTTTCTCGAAGATATTAGCTATATAGTGTAGCTACTCTAAAATTCGAGTTAAAATAAAGGTTATGAATGTATGTATGTAAACAAGACAAAAGGACTAAAAGAAGGGAAAGTAGGCGATTACGGAAGAGAAACATCTATCACACAAAGGAGGCGACTACCCAAGGAAAGCTAACTCTAAGGAGGGAACAAGAGGGAGGGGCGATTTTGAGAGGGATAACTTGGATTAATAAAGGAAATACCGTAATCCCAGGGAAAGCAGTTAAGAAAGTCCGTCTCTATATCAACCCTTCTCGGAAGCTAAGTCTATCATTACGCCAGAATGGCAAAAAAGAAAGAGTAAAACAAATTTTACAATAATATTAAACTGAACGATCCTCGCGCGCCAGCAGGTCAAAAGCCATGGTCGATGATGGTGGTAGGTTTGTTTTCTCTTTCCATCGCGTTCGATTTTCCGAGAAACTTCATCGGGAAAGGAACGTCAAAAACTGTCAATGTTATTGTAAAAAACAAACCGACGACCATTTTCCATGGTCTATAATCCTCTTGACCATAGAAATGACGTCAAATTGTTCGAAAGTTTGCATGCAGTGAAACCACTCGCCGTTCCGCTTGAGTTTTGGCATTTTGACGTTATGTCTATTGAAGATGAGAGTAGCAAATATGCAGTTCTTAGTGAATCTGTAATGTGCACATAATTTTACACAACTTCAGAAACCCTACACTAAAATTCATTAACTTCACAGGCCCGAAAATGAAATTATTTACGATTTCTAGGTTTCAATGACTGTAGAATGTGGTTAGTTTTTAAAAATATCCGAAAACAGGCTCTATTTTTCTTCCGCTTGAGTTAAATTTCCAAAACCCCTGTGGTACCGCGTCTAAGAAGTCACCCACAAAATCGGATTTGGTTTTATAAGCAAACTGGAAACAAGTAAAATAGGAGGCTGTTCAACTTCCACACTGGACACGATCCTCCTCTTTCTGTTTGCAGAACTGTTTACAGTAGACGTTACTTTTTAAACTGTAGAATGCAGTGATTTTGTTACAGATAGTTAAGGTAGGTCTTGGGACTCATCTTGTGAAAAGTCATGAGTATGTCCATAACAAATGAGTCCCAGTTCAAGAAACAAGGAGTCCTAAACTGAAAATGCTTGGGCCTTTATGGACACAGACGCCAAAACTCTTTATTACAGTTTACTGAAATTGAAATGTAGCACAAAGAATACTAAATAAATATGCATCTTAAAACAACAGCCACATAAAACACACGAACAGAATATTCTACCAAAAAATCTTCAAATCGATCGATCGTTCTTTGCGCCCGGTCCCACGGGACGCATTTCATGAATTATTTTGCGTCTTTGGGGATTTTCATGCGTCAGGAACGCAGGACGCAAAGGTGCCAAAATCACTGAGAATAATCTAAGGATCAATTCCCTTGTCTTAGGGGAGGGGTAGGTGGTCCGTTACCCAGAATCCTCAAGGGTTGATCCGATCTAAGTTACCTGTAAAAATCCGCATGGTGTTCCCGTGGTGACATCCAACGATACATCGCCCAGTAATAATCTGTAATAGCAAATCGTCTGCACAATCAGGGTAACAAAGAAAAATGCTTTCCTTTGTTTACGCAAAATATACTCTTACATACAGGATTTACAAATTGCAAAACGAACCAAAGGTTCGGGAATCGTCGCGCATCTTATTAGGTAATTAGGGAGCTTAAGCAACGACGACGGCGACGACAACGAGAACGGCAAAAAAGTAATAAGTTTGATTAGCAAAACAACAACTTTGCACCTTCATCTCGCTTTTTTGTACATTTCTTTGCCGTCTCTGCTCGCCGAGACTACGACTATGGAGAACGTAAACAAGCGACGACGAATTTTTTTTTTCGCTTTCTAAACTTGAGTCCGGTCCCCAAGAAATCAACTCCCGGGAAATTCGCCTACATTTCACATTTGTAGTGAATTGGAATAAACGCCACAAAGTTTGAAAAAATACGAATTCATTTTAAAAGTGACGCCGGTTTTCGCTGCCGTCGATGTCGTCGATACTTAAGCTACCTGTGGAGGGGAGGAGGGAGCTGAGTTTTATATCTCATGGACGCGCGACTAGCAGCGATTTGAGGTAAGAATGGTCGGTTCTTCGTCGGAGTGCATGTCTAAATATTTTTACAACTGGTTGTAGCAGGGGCTCAAAGAGAAACGGGAAAACTGTTACAATAGTTGCATACCTTGCTTTACCAGACCTGAGCAATTGAAGTTTTCCTATATATCCTTCGGAAGCATCTTTGAGCGACAGCTTTTTTTGTTCTTTAGGCTAATACAGGAAATTTACAGAGAGACAATGCGTTAAGCTGGGAAAAGTAAGGAAATATTTAACTAAGATTCCAGATCAGTGTTTCACAAGTAATGAAACTTACTGGTCGGAATAGAAAAAAATTCGAAGATATTAAAAGTTTGATATATTGATCCTTTTACCTCCGTGATTCCCCCGAAATAATCCACAAGTTTTTATTTGTAACTTATAAAAATACTAAAAAAAATGCGGTTGGTGTAATACAAATGAGGAGGTTCCATTTGACTGTACCCATCGACTGGTTTCATCCGCACCATCCTAAAATCATATTGTCGCCATAACTTACTCTTTGAATGAGAGGATACGGGGATAAAACGAATTAGTAAAATCCAACTAGTGGTCTATTATCAATGCTGCGTTCTGATTGGTTGAGCTACTACTGGGCTATATGTTATAGCCTACTAGTAGCGAAAAGCAAGCGCTTTTCTGCGGCAAAAAGTAGCTAATTTTTTTTTATTCTCGATATTTTTGACCAAATAGTTGGATTTTACTAAAACAATTATTCCTCTCGCCCTGAATGGGCTCTGAGTCAATAGCCCATTCGGCCTTCGGCCTCATGGGCTATTGACTCAGAGCCCATTCAGGCTCGAGGAATAATTGTTAATGATCAGTGAACGTGTGGCATATGAGCGCGTAATTGGAGTCGATTGTACTGAGATTTTACCCACTCAGCGAATGGGTTGCCTGTTCCAGGAGTTCCGATAGTGGAGTGCGGAACGAGGTAAGAGAGCGGGAGAAAATAAGGGGGAAGAGAGGAGTTGGAAAGAGGAAGGAAACTTCGCTCTCACCTCCTACCTTACCCCCATCGCTGTTTTTCTTTTCTGCTCAAATCTCTTTGCACCGTCCCCACGATCTGACCGCCTCGAACAGGTTAGGGTACAGAAAAAGCGTGGTTGCATGGATGCGTGGTAACTCAGCGGGGAGACGCCATTTTGGGTTTTCTTAATTTGCGCTCTACGCATGGGCAGATGGTAAAACCTCTGATAAAATTCAAAATTCAACCTGGTTCGTCAGTTCTGTGTGAACGAGGTGTCAAGTCAATTTTTTCTATCCCCTTCCCCTTTCATTTCAAACACCTGCCAACCGGGCTAGGTTGAAAATTGGTCCGGCGGTGCCGTGTGATGGACCAAAGTTACTTATGCAGTCAGTCCTCAAACCTTTTCCTCAGAAGCCGTCTGTTCAGCGGATGCTTCTGTATCTACAGGCATGGGGGACTCATCTGTCTTAATAGGCAGCACATCAGGAAACTGGAAGAATAATAACTGCTCTCCTGCCTACAAAAAGCGGGATAAAAGACATGCTCACTGGCATTGCTTTACTTTTGTTCTTGTAGGTGCCTGGTGATTATGTCAGTTTGTAATGTTGTTTGGCTGTTGAGCAACATGATGCTTACTGATTAAGGTTTCCAACTTTTTACCACCCACGCGAGTAAGACAAGCTCTTTAACCAACCCAATCAATGCAAGCATTAGAACAAAAGAAGCAAGGCTGATTTTCAAATTCTAACGTCTTACCTTGACCTTAGCATTGTATGTAATACCCTGAAGAAAGAAGGCCGTACCTTCCGAAATATTGGTAACAAAAATATGTACAGTGTGTATTCCCGACTGTAAAATCAAATTACATTCTTTTTCAACTTGTAGCTGATTAGATCCTTTATTAGAATCCAGTCCTTCTTTTTTGTAACGTTGGTCCCTGCTTCCAAAATGAATTTAAAGCAATCCAACGCTTTACGTCACCATGTAACAGACCTGATTGCAAGCACCAGAGCCAATTAACCCTTTTCGAGTGCTTGCGCATGTGCATGCGTGCAGGTTATGCCGTTGACAACGGAACTGCTGAGCATTAGAGTGCGTTGTACAGTTGGTTACAACTAGCAGCCGAAACAAGGGTTTTATAAAAGTGACGGTTTGGCGCATACAAATTGTTTCAATAGAGCGTTTTATAAATAAAGGAAACAACTGAGCTTACATTGTGTTTCGACGCTGTGTACGAAAAACAAAAACAGAGAATTTGCTGCAGCATCGCTAACAAAAGATCTTGAGAAGACCTGTCTGTCCTCATTAGAAAGACAAGCGTGCAAAGAAAGTAATGTCCGATAGCCCGGGGCTAGTGGATTTTGCTATCGGGCTAGTGAATTCTGTTTTTAACTTGCCCGACGGGTAGATGATATTTTTTGAGCAATTGGAATTACAACTGGAATTACAGAAGAATTACTGTGAAATCAATTCTGCTGGTCAAAAAGGTTTTGGGGCTAGTTGAAATGACGTCTGGGCTAGTAAATGCTAGCTTCAGCTTGCCCGAATGGCAAGCTGTAAAAATGATTTTCCTTGCACCCTGAAGACTTTCCCGAGATTAATCCCTTTTAAAACACAATTAATTTTGTCTGCTAAAATGGCAAAATTTTTATAACTTTTTACCTTCCCTTTTTGCGAGATTGAATGCCTATAAAACAACAATATACAACTTTTCGTAAGTTGTAAAAGTATAAACGAAACATATTACTAGTAGCAACACAACCAAGAATATGATTTAGTTTAGGATTTTCATACATACCAGTGACTGCGTGGAAAGAAGATTGGAAAGCGTCTTTTCAACCATTACTTCTTTTTTCACAGCTTCTTGTTTTATTGGTTTCTTGATAGTTTCCGCTGACTTCACTTGTTCAGCGTCCACCAAGTCAATGTCCATGGGTTCACTTTTTACTATTAGGGTAACAAAAAAAATCAGGCTGCTCAGGTTTAAAAGCCATGAAATTTGTGGTCCAACGACTTTTCTGGGTTAGACTTCGGAACATACGTACAAATATACTTTATTGAGACTCCCTTCAACAGGGCTTTTCAGTCACAATGTTAATTATTACCTAATACTGGTAATTAAGAAAAAAAAGAGAGAAAACTTATTTACGGTAGTTCAATTAAATTCAAAATACATTCAAAATTATTCAAAATATATTCAAAATTATTTCGTATGAAATATCTTATTAAAAAGTCTCTGCTTAAAACTATCAATATCTTTAGTGTTCTTAATATTGTCAGGTAGCCCATTCCATTCCTTTGGACCACGAAAATAAAATGCCCTTTGTCCTATTGATAGTCTACATCAAGGGACCACAAAATTGTTACATCCCGTTGTGTTCTTGTTGTGAACTGCTGAACGTTTAATAAAATATTTACCTAAATAATCCGGAGCTAAGCCATTTACACATTTGAATACTAAAACTAAGTTATTAAATAGGAAGAACAGAAAGCAAAGATACGGTTCTCATTTTATGTCAAAAAAAAAGACCAACTACAAGCAAATGGCTCACAGACTTGTTTTTGAAAGCAGTTAATCTATAGTTAAGAGGACTTTCTTTTGACCACGGTCTGAGCCGATGGAGTGTTTTGGAGGGTATAACAATTTGGCCTCATTCCCATCTTGAGGAAATTTATCTGAATATCCCCCTAAGAGCAGGATATGATACACAAACCTTTTATATCAGCTTCCGTTGAGGCAGATTCAGCTTGCTTTTCCTTAGCTTTTAGAGCAATATGAGAGAAAGGCAATTGAACTGGCATTATACCAGTCTCATTTTCCATGTCATCATCTTCAATATCACCCTGTTATGAGAAGAATAAAAATCATAAAGACTGTTAGTCTCGAATGTGAGAAGCATTGGGATCATCACAGAGTAAGCTATCCTGAAAAACCATCAAAATAACACAGAAATTGTGAAGATGAAAAAAACAGCATGTCACGAGTGTGGGACAAAGAAAATATCTGAGTCCCCAACAGGATTCGAACCTATGACCTCCCAAACACCGGACAGGTGCCACTCTATTCACTGAGCTACGGAGAACTCATGGAGAGTGAGGCCATATACTAGGTTCATATTTGACATGCGTCCTGCATACTGCTAGATCAGCAATGTAGAGATCATACTGTATGTACACAAGTTGTTTATTAGCTTATTAAAATTTTATTTAATTTCAGTGCTTAACATATTGTTTGCATCTTTTTTTGGTAATTTTAAAGTCATTTAGCACATAAAACATGCCGGTAATGCTGTTGGTTGTTTATGTTTGAACCAAGAGTACGAGCTTAGTTAATAAAGTGGAATGGTTACGAAGCCTGTCAGATCTCTTTGTTATATGTTTTTGTCAGCCCCTTTGGACTGGATGGTGTACAATATTCAACAGACGATTTATGAATTCAAAAAACTCTCATTTTCAAATTGAGGCCAATTTCAAAACCTTTCTTACGAAAATAGTTTGCATGAGAATAGAAAAACATTTTTATATCAATGGTTTTCCACTTAGCCTTGCTTTGAAACAGATATTTGAGGCAACTCGAAAATGACCTATAACGTTACTGTCATTTTGGTCTTTTCAAGCAATAATAATGTAGCATAAGTAGTCAAAGTAGTAACAGCTGGAATATCTTACACTTGTTTGAAGCATTTTAAGAACTCTTTTAGATTCCTCATCATTATCCCCATCAGCACTGAAAATAGAATAATTCAAAACATACCCACTGTGTGACAATAGATGTCTAAAGTGTGACGTCATACAAAATTAAATTTGTGAAATTACGGGATTTGTCAGGATATTCTGAAAGAACAACATCCAAGAGGTGTACTTGCAAAAAACTAGCATTGTGGGGCAAATTGCCTCTGAGATATTAGCCCTACAAATTCTTCTAAATTTGGCTTGGGTCTAAATGTTTAGACCCAAGTCAAATTTAGAAGGATTTGTATGGAGTCATCAGAGCATTACTGGGCTAATATCTCAGTGATAACATAATTATCATAATTATTTTTATGATAATAATAATTATAACATAATTATTACAATTATTCAATAAAATAATAATAATTTTATTGTAATAATAATAATAAAAAGAATAAAATATAATAAAAACTAAACAAACACATTAAATTAATTGTAGTTTTCAGTAATCTCTATATTTCACATGCTTTTACCTTATTTAATATGTGTGTTTCTAAAGAGAAATGATTGGTAAACATAATGAGCGAGTTTTTTACAAACAAACGGATCAACACTGTTAAGAAGAAATGTAAATTTTTTCCGAATTGTTCAGGTCTGCGAAGCTGGAGTACTTGTCTTCTATATCTTGAAATAAGTGTTTTTTTAAATTGCTATATAAATTGCACTCTAGTATAAAATGAGTCTCATTCTCAACTCACTAGTTTCAAATTGAGGACAGCTCCAGCCAAGGTAATATATAAGGTACAGGTGTATACAAGTCAGTGTTGCACATGCATGTAATATTTGTTGTTATTTAACAATTAATGAATGAGGCTGAGTATCTTCGGCCATAACACCCTCCAAGATCTCCATAATTCTTCATATGATACGAAAGTCAAATTCAATAATTGTTTTATTATTCATTCAAAATAATTCCTAGTTTAAAAATGTAGCTTATCTTTGATAGTTTACATTTAGGTTCGTCCAGCCCCACAAATATTCTCCAGATAGTAGATGTCGCCCTCCGAGTTATCTTCTTGCTGTTTTTGCTATGTTTTTAGCCATTATTTCGCCTAGTTCCAGCTGTAGTTCTTACTCTTGAAACGAGTGAAGTGTCCGCCATTTTAGTTTTTACAACAAAAACAACTCAATCTCATCCCCAGGTCTTCTCGGTTAATGGTGCATTAACCTGTAGAAGGCTACATTTGTGTCGTCATTTCCTCGTTAAACAAAAAATTCTTCCAAATTTGGTCATCAGTAACTGGTTATGGTGAATTATACGTGTGCTTTTAGCCAATCAGAATTGAGGAAATATTTTGAATGAATAATAATGTTGGTTAACCTTATTTAGACGCAGTATTAATTAAAAAAATTATTGCGATACCTTTCTTTTTTAACTGTGAAACTGGACACACTTCCCCCGCCTCCTGAAGATGAACCATAATTTGGAATGGATGATCCTGGGTGTTGGACATAAAGCAAATGCGTGTTAAGAAGTATTTTCCAAAAAGCTTTTCAATGGGCCTATCATTAAGAGCCATGGCCTATCTAGTGACTGGCCCTTTTCAGCTCTCAGTCAGGTGACCTGCTTAATGCAAAACTTACATGGCAGATACAACTAAAACAGCACCAGGAAGTGTGTATAGTTTGGTTGTTGGCATCTGTTACAACCAAAAACCTCTTTGTTTACTTGGAAAACATTCAGTTAAATTCTCTTACCAACTCTCTGCTTTTCCACAGGACCCACTCCCATAGAAAAGATTGACGAAGACTGGACAATGGTTGGCTTGTTCCTCTCTCCCCTTCCTCTTCCACGACCCTCACCACGCCCTCTGCCTCTACCTTCACCTCTCTGCCGCCTTTGTCCTCCAGATCTCTGATGACAAATATAACTGTCAGAGAAAGTTCTCTTGGCAAATTGAAAAATTATAGGCAGCAGATAGTACTAAAAACAAAAAACTTACTTCTGGGGTAAGGTTAGGTTCATCTCTTGGCCTAAAAAAAAGACAAAACAAAACCAAATTTATGAAAAATTTAACACATGTTGCATTAAAACATTCCTTATCCTGGAATGAGTAAACTCAGATTTCAAGACACTCAAACCCTGCTTTACAGACACCCACTTAATATTGTTATTATGGATCTCGTTATTAACCTGTATTAATTGGTTTTCCTAATACTTTACCCGCTGGATAGTGATTTATCCAGTAGATAGCGCTATCCAGCATTTGAACAACCAGGAATAAAGTAACTACTAAACTGAAATTAAAAAAAAAAAAGCTTTTATATATGTTAACGGTGACTGGCTTACTCTTGTTTGATTCTCCTTGTTGGGATATTAGGAGTGAATGTTCTCTATAAAAACAAAACACAAAAAAGACAAATGAAATCAAAGACGAACGAAATCAACAAATACACTTGTACTTTCACTTTTAAACATGGAATACTATGCTTTGACACAGAAAAGGAAAATTATTAGGCTGAGAGAGGCAATGTGGTCGACCAGTCTGGACAAGTTCAACTCCTGCTGTGTTAATTTTGCACCTCATTAGATTCAATTTCACTTGATAACATTTTCAACTAGCCATCTGGTTAACTTAATGAAACTTAAGATGGAATCCATCAGGAAATTGAGTATGGCAATTTTAATTCTCAGTGGACAAAAACTTTGTACCAGAATAATTTAAACAATATCCCATTATTTTTATATTTTTCAAGGGCTAAAGATGTAATTAGTCATCTGTTGTAACACCAAAGAAAATTTCTCATCGGCAGCCAGAGAAAATGAAAGTCAAAGTGCACAAGAATATTATTGTGAAAACACTGGTAAAATTCTGAAAATTTCATGTGTGATATGTAATGTTATGAAATTTGACGTTCATTTTCTCGAGCTCCTACAAGAAATTTTGTTTGGTGTTATTACAGATAACTAATTATATCTTTAGCCCTTGAAAAACATAAAAAGGATGCGATATTATGTAAATTATTCTGGTACAAGGTTTTTGTCCACTGAAAACTGAAATTACTCAATTTCCTCATGGATTCCGTCTTAATTTTCCTCTATCCTCAGTTTTGAAAATTCCTCCGAACAGGGTGCAAAGAAAATCATTTTTACAGCTAGCCATTCGGGCAAGCTGAAGCTAGCATTTACTAGCCCAGACATCATTTCAACTAGCCCCAAAAGTTTTTTGATGAGCAGAATTGATCTCACAGTTCTTCTGTTATTCCAATTCCTCAAAAAACATCACTTGCCCGTCAGGCAAGTTAAAAACAGAATTTACTAGCCCGATTACAAAATTCACTAGCCCCAGGCTATCGGACACTTCTTTCTTTGCACACTGAGGAAAGAGGAAATTATTATTTCTTTAATAACAATAGAATTAATTGAAGGAGGCTGATGAAAACTGTCCAAGCAGTCATAGGATATATAATTATTTCATATTCACTTAAGGATTCCACATCATCATCATTTTAACTAAAGGACTCTTGTGATACACTTGAGCAAGGAACTTTATCTGTAGTTTTATTAAATACCTTTGCTGGGGTTATACCACTTGCAGCACCAAGAGTCAAGTCTCTAGCTGGTCTTAATGATGGCAATCTGCCAGGACTAAAAGAAAACATTACACACTGTAATACATGCGTAACAAAGACGTGTAATGTGAGCTTTAAAGTCAAAATATAAGCCGAAGTAGGCTGTAATTCATAATACAATAGGAACCTTAAGATCCAACAACAGTGATGGCAACAAGGACGTCAAAAAAGCAATACGTTTAATAACCAAAACAACAATTTTGCACGTGCATCACGCTTTTTTGTACACGTCTTTACCGTCACTCCACGACTATGACGTGAAAATGCCAACATTTGAAAAAGTTAGTGACTTGGAGTAATCGCGATGAAGATTGAAAGAAAGTGAATTCACTTTTTCTGTAACATTTTTGCTGCCCTTGCTGTCCTCGGATCTTAAGGTCCCTAACACCTGCTGCAGTTCCAGGGGGCGGGGGTTTGAGGTTCACGTCTTAATTTAAACCCTTTTTAAAATTACATTTTGCCAAGATATAATAATGGGACAGGGAGGAAAATGCCCAGTCTAGCTCTTGGGATATGGAAATGTCACCGATGTTACTTTAGGAAAAATTAAACGCTTGAAATTAATTGGAAGTTGGTTCCCAAAGAGGTCCGCAAACTTTTATTCAGTGTCGTCAAGACAGCATTCAACAGTCAGCATTTCAATATTCTGCATTTTTGCATTGAGGTGGTCAGGTATGGATTGATAATGTTTCAAACACTCGATTAAACTTTAACAATGCCCCAGGAAGAAAACAACCTCTAAAACTAACTTAAGTAAAAGTCACATTATATCAGCCAATGCCCTTAGATTTCCTCTCTGTCCCAATAATATCTACTGATTTTGCCTCATATAGTACCTGGGCGATGCACTTTGCAACTGTCTTGAGAACAAGGCTGAAAGTTAAATAAAGGAGATCAAGTCATTAGTGAAAATTACAAATGTAAATCTTTACCAGGGATCCATATTAGCAGTTGTCACAATGTACATGTATGAGAAAACATGAAATCAGGACACAAAAACTACCAGAAAACACAAAAACACAAAATACTGCCCTATATATGGTCACGATACTGGCTATTTTTCCCGCGAAACCAATCAGAGGCGCAGGTATAAACAATGACACCTTTTGCTTCACAACGATGTCCTGGAGTGAAGTGCTTACGAGTTTGTTTCTGGTTTTCTTGAGTTCTATGCAGTACAAGGGAACATTTGTCTTTCTAAAGCAAGGAAAAGCTTTTGCGTCTATACCTAACACTATGGCAAATGAACAAAGAAGAAAAATTGGCAGTTTCAGTGGCATGAAGTTCAAAACTTTACAACATGACAGACAACACGATCATGGACGTATTGAATTACATAACAAGCGTGTTTTTTTATAACGTGTTAGATAAAGGATTTTGTCAGGCATTTTACAGTCAAGGTGCTTCGATACGTTAGAAAAAAGTTGAAAAATAGTATATTACTTTTAAATTAGCCCAAATACGAAGTAAATTGCTCGTATAACAGAAGAGTTTGTGATGCGTGACTGTTTGGCAATCACAAGCGGATATAAATTTAAAACTGTCAAATTTGCCCACTCCGAATACAATTTTTCTAGCCACAACTGTATTAATTTATAGTTCTCAGTTTACCACGTTTTTCCTGTGAAATTGGTCTTAGAAACAAAACTTTAGTTGCTTATCAATGAGATCACCCTGAACTGAAACTTCACTTACAATGTTAAGTACTGGCTAGCTTCAAGCTGGTCGAAAATCGCACTATTCTGAGATGGTCACATTAGCCTCCGGTACCAGCTCAAGGTTCGCTAGAAAATCAAAATGTTTTGCCCTTTCTTGTTAAAACAGGAAACGTAAACCGATGATAAACCAATGATGTTTAAAGCAGTTTTGCATGTCATAAATATTTTCTAAGGTGTGATTTTTTACTTACAGGGGCCCAAATCACAAAAAAAGGAAAACTGTTTCCTCCTGCCTTCAGGAAAGATTATGGTAACTTGGCAATGCTTTTATCACTTTGTAAATAAGGTAAGAGATCGTTTGATAATCAAAAAGCTTGTGGCTCCTAAAATACACGCGTAAGCTTAGATTTTTTTCTGAACAAACAGAACAGGAGATTTCAAATAGACTTCGCGAGTAGTCCATTGTTTGTCTTTAGACTTATTCGGCAAAATTAATAATCATTATATTTATTAGGAAAGTGGGCTGTAGCATTCACGAGAACACGATGACGTGTAGGTTAGCGATGACAAGAGCAATAACGGCTCAATAAGAAGAGGAATCCCGTTGGATGTGCCTAATTGATTTGAAAGGTGATAAGAACTTCACACTCCAAAATCAGTTGGCCTTGAAAGGTCAAAAACTTGGGCTTTGTCTGCAGTCCCTCATTTTTCCCTCTCCCCACCGCTTCTCGCCTCTCTCATGTGGGGTGATTTTTATGGGTGCTCACATTTTGCTTGCTCTACTATTCCTGAGGGAAAATGGGGGACTACTCATAGTCTAATCCTTTTTATTGCTGCTGGGCATCAGCCGGCAGCAGATCATATTCTTGATCCATTTGAGATTTTTGGTTCGATGGTTCGATGGTTCCATTGTTCCATGGTTCGATGGTCATCTGTGACTGAAGCGCTGTGCAGTCAGCGGTTTGCTTAGCTGCCGTGCCTGTTTTTCTCTTAGGAGCAACCCGCCATTTTGTTTTGCTCTCATGTAAGATCTGTGCAGAAATCATAGTTTATCGGATGCTTGCTGTCTTTTTAAACCGCCTAAATGGTAAGAACAGTTCAAGACGTATTGTACGGAACATTTTTTCGGTTTATTTTTTTATTCAGGTTTCAAGATTAGTTATAGCGAGTATTCTTTTGTCACACAGATTGTTATCTCGGTAATCAGGATTGTAAGTTACATAAGTGAACGGCATGTGCTGTACATCTACCTGACCAGTGAATAAACAAGTTTTGGCCTTTACGTCATTTGTTCGCAACTCATCTCATCGATCCTGTGTACGATGATTGTTTGATGAAGAAACAGCCTATCAGCACTGTTGTTGTTTAGAATTTCGTGAATCATTAAAATGAATTACAAAATGGTATTGAAACCTTAGTGAGTCATATGAATGTAAGCATATTTGTCATTGTGATTGGTTCATTTTTTATATTACGCTCTGAGTGTTTCATAATGCCAGCAAGTCTAAGTTATCGACGTTAATAAAAAAGAATTTATACGTTCAACTGTTCTACAAACTGTCTTTGTCCTATTTGCTTCGCAACTAACGGCAGCACTTCCCTTCTCAATGAGAACTTCTTGTAAAATAACTAAGATAGTACGCACGCTCTGATTGGGTGAGAGGTGAGTTTGCATGAGAGTAAGTAAACATGGTTGTTACATCAACATGTTTTGCTTTTTGCCTGCTAATCACACAAGCACAAATTTGAAAAAGTTTTAAGTTGAAAACTCCACAAGTTTACTTATTTATCCCTTCCCTCATTGGTTGAAACTTAGAAAATCTTTACAAACATACTGTTATACCTGCCAACTCTCACACCTTAGGCGTGATTCTCACGCCTGCGGGTTGAAAACTTCCATCTCACGCCGCCTCACGCTTGCGGGCCAATTTCTCACGCCTGATTGAAAAATGTGAGTTGTTGCCGTCTTGCTTGACACAATTTCCAAAAATATGTTAACTCAGACCCATGTAAGGAACGAAAACCATGTGTAAAATGAATAAATGACAATATCTTCCTCGCGATCTCTGATTTTTGAAGTGAAAAGCACTGGGAGCAAGCTCGCCTTCAGCAGACTTCAGCAGACTTTGGATGTCTTCGGAAGACTTCGGACTTCTTCAGGAATCTTCGGAAATGATCGTGTCATCTTCAAAAATCCCAGCACTCCCAGGATAAAAATCTCATGCTTATATCTCAGAAAAAGTTAGCAGGTATATACTGTGTCAATATTTTTCTCTTAAGCTGACATTTTAAGTGAGAAAAATCCGTATTTTGGAAGGCTAAATTTTAGAATACCCGGCCACTTCTTTGCATATCATTTAATGACAAAAGTGCCTTGTATTGTGTTATACCTTGTTCTTTACAGCATTCTGACAAATGTAAAATGATGTGGACGGGCATTCTGAAATTACTCCTTTTGGAAAGCAACTTTTTTTGTGAAACAAAAACTGATTACGATTGCAAGACTTTGTGTACAAGAATTTCTCTTTCAATCAGTGCCATAACAAAAAGTTTTGTAGTTTTTCTCGGGGAGGTTATAAAAACAATAGAAACTTTTCCTGTATTTGCATAGCCGGCCTGATACAAACAATCGAAGGGTTGGGAGATTTTCTCGAAAGCTATGCAAACCCGAGAGGATAACCATCTCGAATTCTCCTAACCCCTCTCGTGTTTATTTCAGGCTATGCAAACACGGTAAACGTTTCCTATTGCTTAAATATAAGCTTACATCTAGAATGAGCCGAACATGAGCCTACCTCGGCCTCTTGCCCCCAGAAGTGGAGTCTTTCTCGCAGAAAGAGGGACCTCCTTATTTTTGTTACTCTCATTTCCAGACATGAGTGCTCACTTAACTTATTATTGAGGAAGCACACACGCAAACTTATTCAATATATACCTCTTGACACAACTTGAAATTGCTCAAGTCAGCCCTGCTACTGCCGTGCATGAGCCCTCTCCATAGCATGTTGAAAACCTTGAGTAGCATATCACTTTGGTCAGTTAACACTCTAATACAAGATATCACATCATTTAAACGACACGGGTACTTCCCCTAGAAAACACCCCTTTCTCCCATGATGCTAGGCGGGTAGGTTAATCTAGACCGAGTGTAAAGTTCATTTTGCAGTGGGCAATTTTTTATGCACTTATGGTGAAACTAGGCCTCCGAAAATAGACACACGGTGCTGAAGGAGGTACTCTCCCTGGGAGATGTCCACAGAATCAAGTGCCACAAGAAGACGTGGTAAAGAAGGCCTAGCAGCGAATGGGTCCAGCGAAAATCTTTTGGAAGGAATGAAGGTTGGTGAAGCTAATAAATCGAGTCGTTCTTTTTAGTTTTTGCTTATTCATTGTGCTATCATCCTTGATGCATTGTATAAAATTCCGTCTTTGAGACGAGTTCACTAATTCTCGGAAATACCAATTTTAATTTATAGATGTATATATCAACAGATTGTTCAAATTTTGCGCGACTTTGTAAATGACAGGCGAATTCGAAGAACTGTCGTGATCAAGTGATCGATCTTTCCAGTTGATTTTGTTCTCATGCACTTGACGTTTGTTCAAATTTTTATTTAAAAATGGACTATTTTTGCGTCCCTCCAGTCGTGTTGTTGTCTGTTGTAAACCACACATAATGTCATTGGTGATCCAAAATTAAAACTTAAAACTTTCAATTCGTGAAGCTGAATAGTAAGTGCCACATGTAATACTGATTCTCAGAAAGCTGTTTTCCTTAACTCCAAGTTGATATTTTAGAAGAAACAAGTGAAACTGTTATTACGCTACATGTAGCCGTCTTATGTTTGTTGCAATGATGGAGAATGTTTCCTAATTAATGATATTGCATGGCCACCTCTGTATAATGTTGGTAACATTTGGACTTGTTGTACCGGTCTTAGAAGGAAGCACAGGATAACCTCGAATGTCATGTGATTACTAAAAATATCCAAATATTCTCTTTAAAAGCTGTCTTAAAATTTCATAGCAGTACAATAATGTTGTTCGTACAGCAGGGGTATATTTAAATGCTTAATTACATCTGCTTTTTTGTCGCAAAAATTATGTGTATATAAAAGCTGGAGCTTCTGGAGAATTGTGCACCTGCATGTTTCAATTGACATTGAGTGCTGCATTAGTTGCGGTAGGTACATGTAAACAGAGAACATATCAAAGTTGATTGTGTTAATCCTTAAAGCCCCAAGGCCAGGGTGACCAACTTCAATTTTCTCTTCACAAAATCAAAACATCAAGAGGGAAAAAGGTCAGGAGAATATTTATTGACAAAGTGACCACCAAAAAGTAAATGCCTTGATGTATAACAAATTCTTCCAACTAATTCTTTAGGAAAGAGTGACGATCACTTGGGAGAATATGTAAGTGGATACCGGGGCTTACATGTACAGGGTTAAATCTGTCATGCACAGTGTACATGTGACTGCTTGTGAACAAAATCCTGTACATTTAGGACTGAGCCTAATACACTGAATTGAGTACATGAAAAGTTCGGCATCTGAATCAATTAGGAATGCCTATTTCAATTTGGAATGGCTCAGCCGTTTTTCCTGCCTAGCCCGGCCGGGAACTTCTCCTTTGGAGCAACTTTAGAACTGCTTTGATTCAGACACCAAACTTTTCCTGTGCCAAACCTAAAGCATAAATTATTATAAAGTATTTTGCAAGTACTTTAACTCCGAGAGAATTTTCTCCTTTTGAATTTAGTTTGCCTGGAATTAAGATTGGCGTGTGAATCAATTGAGCTAGTCTTAATCATTTTGGCTTGGCCTTACTTCGAATTAGGTTCGGCTCATGAAAAGTTTGGCATCTGAATTGGGCCTAACCATTCAAATGAAACCTCCTGTTGCCTCTTGATGT